GCACTGGGCACCTGGAGGCCAGACATAGCTCAGAGCTTCCTGCTACTTGCTCAGAAAAGCAGTCTCAGGGTGAGGCTGGGAGTAGCACAGGGTCGTGCAGAAGCCCATGCACTGAGATCCCACCACCCTTTTTTGGGTCTACTTACCCTTGCCATTTTGGACGAGGTCTGGAGCTGACAGATGGTGCTGCAGGCATGCAGCCCCTCATACAGGTTCCTGATGTCTCCTGTCTCGATGTCTCTGTTGGCTGCTTTGGCTGGAAAGAGCACAGGGAGAAAAGGGAAGTCATGCTTCTGGAAATGGAACTGCTTTCCACGGGGGAGAGACAGGACAGGATGGGGACAAGAAGAGAGCTGTGCACGGTGCCTCTCCCTCCTGTAAACAGGGCCCAGCCAGTGGGGCTCTGGTAGTGCTGCAGAGGAGGGCACAGGGCTGGCACACGCCTGCTCTACTCACCTTGGATTCGGAGAAGGGAGCTCAGACAGGTGACGGCCAGCTGGCGGGATGTGGGCATGGGGTCACATGTCAGAGGTGCCAACAATCCCACCAAGGAGCCAAAGTGCTCACAGATATCTCCTCTCTGCAGGGGTGAGAGGCAGGAACAAAGCTGTAGGCGGCCCCAACTTCTCCCGCCTGTGCCTTCACCACACCGTGACACAGCATGCACAGCTGAGTGGAGCTTGCCTTCCAGCTCAAGGAGGGAGCAGGGGGCATGTGAATGGGCTTTTTACTCACTTGAAGCTCTTCACAAACAGCCAGCAGCTGGGAGCAGGTCTGCAGGGCCCTCTTGCGCTCCCACACGTTGTCTGATGTCATAGATCTCTGCAGGACCTGTGGCAGAGCATCTGTCTCACTGAGGACGTCTTTTCTTTCCCTTCCTGCCACCCCTCTCCCTGTCCCTCCTTTCCTGACACTTTCCCTTAGGGCCTTTCCTGGTTCCACGTGGCCCCCCGCCTCACTGAGCACCAGCATTGCTGCCCCTGCTCTCTGCAGACACTCCTGCCTCCTAACCCAGGAGCTTTTCCTCGGCTTTTCCAGGGCTGGCTCCTGCCTTTCCCCCTGCAGGGCTCATTTCTCTGCCCATTTTTGAGCTCGCAGTGAACTGGCATGTCAGCAGGAGATTTCTCCCCCTCTGACTGTCCTCTCAGTCCCCAAATCTCTGTCCCCGCTATTGACAGTTACCATGCTTTCTCCCTTGCCCCACATATACTCACATGGACTATGTTCTGGAAAAAGCCACGGGTGGGCTCTGTCTTGAGCAGGACTGCCATGAGCCGGCCCAGAGATTTCAATGATGTTTGCTGAAGCTGAAAGCAGAAGAGGAGATTGAGGTGTGCATCATGGCTGCTGCCAGAGCATAGGTTGTGTGTGCTGAGGTAGGGTTCCGACCAAGAGGTGGCCGGGAAAGTTACAGCAGGTTACCTGCAGGTACTGAGCTGCTTGCTGTGACTTTCTGATCTTCAGCATCATCTCCGCTGAAGGGTGCGTCACAATGTTCTTGCAGCACAGAA